GGGGGGGGGAAGTCACAAAAACAGAGCCAGCACCTCAAGAAGAAACCGATGGTCCCCTGCCATCACACTGGCCAGGGTCCCTTTCCCTTGCACCTGTCCCACCCACACCATGATGGATGGCCATAAGGACTGTCCAAAGGGGTGAGAAGCGTCAAGCCTGCACCCAAACCCCAAGAGACCTTACTGCTACAGAGCTGGGGTTTAAGTGGAAGTCCAGGCACCATGGAATCTGCAAAAGCAGCTCCAACAATGGCAGCAGAGAGGGGTCTGTAAGTGACTGGGGACACTGGACAAGCCCAGCCTTGGTGGGAAGACCCCTGGGCTTATACGGCCACCCTGGCTGTGCCAGGCCAAGCTAGCAGGGCAGGATCCTTTGACGGAGAGGGCTGATGAGCTGCCTCCCAGCAAGAGCCCAGGGCAGGCTGGAGTCACCTGAAGGAGGTAGTCGGTCTTCTGCTGGGCGTAATTCATTATTTTTGTGGTGATGGTCTGACTAGAGCCCAATGTGGTGCAGAAGTAGAGGGACTTCTCCGGCTTGTTGACGGTGGCTTTCAGGTGCATGTCATAGTAAAAAGAGCCCAAGTCGTTGCTCTGAAGCACCAGGCGCCCGGTGCTCTCACCCATTTTCAGGGGCTGGTACTCAAAGACAAGATCAGCCTAGGAAGAACAAAGGGAAAAGCGACTGGGTCAGGCAGAGATGGGGTGGGGTAAATTGATCCCTGGCGTGTTTATGCAGTGGTGGAAGTCAGCACAGCACCCTCCCTCTCTCCAACTCCCTCTCTCTGGGGCAGAGCCTTGCTCCATCTGGGGGATGGTTCACTTGGGGGACCATCACCAACAGCTGAGAGCCCTCCAGAAGCCTCCCACCCTAAAATGCCCCTAGAGTCCCCCCCAGGTCACACACCACCTCCTATCAATCCAGGCTGCAAACACCCTGCCAGCAAGCTGAGGCATGCCCTGCAGCCACTCTAAACTGAAAATACCCCCACAAAGCAAGGAGCATGCGGCACAAGGAGCTGCCACACGAGGCCTGAAGGGAGCATATCACAAGGGGTAGTATGGCAGAGTCCACCAGTGCAGGGCCATTCCCACTTGGCATATTTCCACACACTGGTTCCCGTCCAGATTATTAGCCGGTGGGAGCTGTCACCCTTGGAAACAAGCCCTAGATGGTTCACATAGGTGATCACCCTTCAAGAGCACCCACTCCCAAGAAAGGCTGCAGGGAGAGGAGAGTGTACTGGATGAGCTTTGCTCCTACCTCTGACTGTGCAGGAACAGTGAAATGTGGGGGAATGTTGACGTCAGGCACTTTGCAATCTATGGCAAACGTCACCGGAACAGGCAGAGGGTTGTCCACCTTGATGGTGGAAGACACTCTCTGCCGAACAGCGGTGGTTATTTCAACAGTGCTGATGGGTCCTGAAGCGGTGGCCTTGAAAGTCACCATGTAGAACAAGTACTCCTTGGTCACCTCATTGAGGAAGGTCACCTGAAATAGAGAAAAAGGGAAGCACTGATCGTTCTGCACATAAAAATAAATCAGCTGTGCTAAGCCACCCCAAAGAGCCCCCCCCAGGCTCAGCACCCTACTTTCAAGAACAGTCGTAAGCAGCCACCGAGGAGAAGTCCAAGACTGAGGAAAGCATGTGTGGTATTTCTACTTGACACTCTCCTGATTGCTCATTGCTTCCAGCTCACCGATCTCCTAACCCACCTGTGTTTAGCAGCCCCCAGTGGGACCCTCACAAAGACTGACATGGGAGTGGGGTGTGCGGAGAGGTGCTTACTGGTCAGTACCCACCTAGGACACACCTACATTCCTACCAGTGGGTACGTGGAAGTATAAAAACAGGCGTGTAGCTTCTCCGTGAGCAAACAGTTCCTTGAAGGGCCCACAGCTCGGTGTCCACACTTACCATTGTGTTAAAGACTCCTTCCTTGTAGGAGAGGAACGTGAGCTTGTAGTCCTTCTTGGCAGAGGCTGGCACATCAATGTATTCCAGCCCCTGCAGCACAGAACTGCTTTCCAGGTTTTCTGGTTTGAGTATGTCCACTACCACAAGGAACCTGTGGGTGAGAAGGATGCAGTGAAGATCAATGGGAATGACCCCCAGAGGATACCCATCATGTGGGGGTACAACACAGCCCCTCTCATCCTCAATGCCTCAGGCATCGCTCTCATCCGCCTCGGAGGAAAGCCCTCCAGGATGGATTCTGCACAGGCAGCACGTAGGTAGTATGATTCCCAGACAGCTATGGCCAGAAATGGCCAAGGGGAGTGAAAAGCTTGCAGGAAGGAGCTTCCAGGCAGTGGGAAGCCCCTCCTTACACTGCTACAGGGATTGCTGATGGGACGAGACTTTCTGGGCCGGACTCACCTTTGTGGTCTGCTCAGCCAGTTGGAGACAGGGATGAGCTCAGTGTAGGAAGTCCTACATGGTACCTGCCGGAAAATGGTCCCTGAGCACTTTGGGGCCTCAGCAGTCCCTTGCAGGAGGTAGTACAAGCCTGTCCCATTCGGCAATGGGAAGAAGATGGAGCCCTAGAAGACAAGTAATAGAAGTGAGCTCTCCTGCTCTCTGTCTGGACCAGTTACCAGCTCTCGAGCACACCTGGACAGTCCCATATCTCAGGCTGTCCCTGGAGCAGCTTTGAGCAGGTCCAGCTGGCAGAGCTGTGACCACAGCCCTGCGTCCTGCGCAGGTGGCGATGGCAATGTCGTACCCGCTCAGGCTAGCACAGCCGCAGGACACAGAGGCAGCATGTCTGGACAAAGCAAGGAAATGCCAGCCCTACAGCAGAGCTGGTATGACTATCCCGACACGCTTTTACTTGCCTAACTTAGGCACATCAGGTGCCAGCCCTGCACCTGTGCAGGGACAGCTGTGCTAAGGGGGTGGCAGTCCTTGCTAAGCTCGACTGCCCCACCATTATTGCCTGTAAGCCAACATGGCAGGGTGAGCCATGAAAAGCTCATATCCAGTACTCATTTCAGGTGGCAGTGCGTCACAGCCACCTGCCTGTGGCATCTCCTCTGCTTCCAGAGCAGCTGAAATCTGCAGCACTCTTCATGCAAGGCTGTACGTTCAAAGAGATACTAAGCATATGCAACCCTACAGAGCACAGATCTGCTGAGCACCCCAGAGACTGAGGCCACAAGTCTCTGGCCTAAATTCTGGAGCGGGTATAAGGTCAGCTGGAGCAGGACAAGGACCCCAGCAGCTCCAGCACCTCAGAGCCCTTCTGAACTGAGCCCTTTGATTTAAGAGCTTGTCCCTGATCTGTCTCAGAAAATACGGCCTGTGGAAGCAGAGGGGGCGGTCACCACGACCTGCCCAGCCCGAGACCTGCAGGAAGGGCTCTTTCCAAAGCTCCTGTGTTACCAAAGGTGATGCCAAGAGAGATCTCTCTGTCCTTCCCACCTGCCTGCTCACGGCCGGTGGGAAATTTGCCCTTCTTGTTCCCTGGATGCTGCGAAAGGATGCGAGCAGGGCAGCGCTGGCAGAAGCGGTCATGCCCAGGGCTTTGGGGAGCCTGTGCAGCCCACAGGGCCGAGCACCCCCAGGGGTCTCTGAGCCCCCCCCGGGCTGCACTGGCAGGGACCAGGAGCTGCACAGAACAAACTGCATTTCCTAGACCTTCAGAAAACCTGGCTTTTTAGGTTAGCTGCTCCAATACGTTTAGTGGTCAGTGCAGACTTTGCACCTGCGCTTTCCCTATGCCTGGCCTCTAGCTACCAAGAAACCCAGCTTCTGACATAGATCACAGGACAATTTCAGCTTGGACAGGACCTCTGAAGGTCATCTTGTCCAACCTCCTGCCCAAAGCAGGCTCAGCTATGAAGGTCACACTATGAGGGTCAGCATGCTGGCACAGTTCACATACCTGATGCTTCTTATACTCAGAGCTCATGGTTAGGGGTTTGTAAGTGATCTTGTAGGGTTTTTTTTGTTGATTGGCTTCTAGATGGAAAAATTCAGGCCCCGTCCAGTGTTCCCCCTCAATGACAGGTTGCACAGTCCAGGCCTCATTGCTCGGGTTGGACAAGAGGATGGTCTGGCTGTGCTTTTCACGCACGTCACATGTGAAAGTCAGTATCTGCAACAGAGGAGCACAGAAGCTGCTTGGTCGTACCAAGGAACCCTTTCCACTCTTCTCAGATTCTGACTAGCTTGACACCAGGACCTGGAGCACAGGGAGCAGCTTTTCCTTGTCATATGCGAAATTTCCATAACTTTTGGAGTAAATCAAGTTGTTTGCTCTTAAAGGGAGAGGAACAAGTTCTTTGCATGCTGGGTGAAAGAAAACAGGGAGTCCTAGAAGGAAACTCTCCTGTGCAAGGACAGGACCCGCAGCCACACAGCCCTTTCATGGGCAGACTGAAGAGCAGCTTCACGCTCTCTTTTGGGAGCAAGAGCCAACACCTCCCAGCTGCAGCCTCCCGCAATGCCCGTGAGGGCCAAGAGTCCTCCACGGTGGTGCCCCAGGAGCTGGATGCAGATGCCTTGCCCACTCCTAGCGCTTGAATGCCCTCCCCTGCCCCGACAGAGAAAAGTGTGGCTGCGGGTGCAATATTGGGGGTACAGCTGGGTCGCTCGGTGGGGAGGCTCTCAGAAGAGCCGTGCAGGGTGTCCCTGCAGCAAGGGTGCTGCAATGCAGAGCCAGGACAGCTGAGGTGCTTGCTGGAGGAGCAGCACCTTTAACAAGGGAAGGCAGGTAATTACAGGGCTCTGAAATTTTGGGAATCCTGCCCAGCGGTTTTCCAGCTCTCTGGGATACCCAGGCAGGAGGGAGTCTATACATGTGAGTGGCCTCCAGTCCCTGCCCTGGGAGAGATGCGATGCAAATGGTGGGGTAAGAGGGGGATCCATCCTGTCTCTGCCACGGTTACCTCTTTGGTCACAGGGGTCTCCATGCAGGACCCCACCAGTGTAAGCCGGAGCGGGTCACTGCCGTGGATGAAGCACTGCAGGCCCTCGTACTGGATAATGTGGCTCAGCTTAGAGGGGCGGAAAGTCACAATGAAGGGGATATCCATTCCTGGGGAGATGTAACCCTTTGTGGGGCTGATGGAGAAATCTGGCTTGAAGCTCTCGATGTCCCATTTAAACCTTGCCAAGGAAAGCACAAGGACAGGAAGGAAGGATTAGCAACTGGGAGGCTGTGAACGCAGTGTGCTATTTCTAAGCTTCTTGTGGGCTTTTCCACCAGATCTCAGGCATGATGCTGAGCCACCTGGCAATAAGGCTTCAGCTGCACCCATCTGTAAATAAGCTTTTGGTTGTATCCCTTGCTAACTTCCAGAGCCTGACTGCACAGCCTTGGCTGCACAACTCTCCACTGGGATGGAAAAAGCAGAGGGGAACTGTGTGAGCAAGCTACAGCTCCACGCAACCCTCATCCAAGCTCTCAGCCCTCAGAGAGGACAGGGTTCTGCATTACTTGACTCCTATGTCGCCCGTGTTCCGCATGATGATGTGCCGGGATGTGTAGCTCTGCTGCACCACCGCTCCAAAGCTGAGGTGTTCCTGGTCCAAGCTCACGTGGATGCCCTGGCAGGAGCCCCGCACCATGAAGAGGGAGCGCACCAGGCCGTTGCACTCCAACATCACTTCTTCAGTGAACGGCTGGATGCGGCATTTTGGGGAGAAGGTCACCTCTACTTTACAGGTGTCTCCTTTGGGCTTCAGACTTAGTTCCTTGGTGGGGTTCAAGCAGAGAACCTGCCCAAAGAAATGAGTGGAGACTATTTCGTCTGGCAACCGAGCTGTGAATCTTCCACCACTACAGTCAGAGAAGAGTCTTCCAATTTCCTCTTCTGTCCCCACCAACATTGCCCCAGTCCCACTCATTCCCTCATATGCATTCCTAGGTACCGAAGGTAATTTCCTGTGATGTCTCCATCTGGCCATGGTGAGCTGAACTATGTCTTCTAAAGTAATTTCACATAAGCTCCAAGAGAGCTGCAACTCTTAGTCCTTAGAGATTCATTTATCTCCCTTACCTTCCCAGATCTAAAATACATGGCCGCATCCTAACGTATGTGTTTAAAACAGGTTAGGGGAATTGTACCACCTTTTCGCTTCTGGCTATTAAGGGAGTCCTCACACCTAGCTCAGATGAGGCATTGACATCGCAAGTTATCTGCTGGTAGAGCAGTCCCAGCAGGGAGGCCAGGACAGCACGCCGGCAGCCAGGACACCATATAATTGTAATTAGCTACTAGCTCCTGCCCAGAGCAGCTCATAGCTACCTGCAGACACACCAAAGTGCTCTCCAGTGAAGGAAGGGGCCTTACCCCAGCTTCTTGCAGCTCTGGCATGGTGGACACGAGACTGAGCTTAAAAGTGAGAGGGGCAGCACTGTTGTTTGCTATGGTGACAGTCTTCTTCACCATCTGTCCGATGGAGAGGGCTCCCAGCTTCACCACCTTTCCTTGTGGTTCCACAACGTCAACCTGAGGCAGGAGGGATTAATATAAAGTAAAAGGAAAGAAGAAGGTTTTCTGCCACCCTTGTGGCAGAGAACCAACACATGGTAGGCTGAGGAAGAAGTGAGGAAAACAAGAGAGAAAGCCATGGTGGCTGCCTGCCACATGGAGTTTTTGGATTTCATCTCACCTTCATTTCCATGCCCCTTCCTTGGACCTCAACAGTCTGCTGGCAAAGGCCATTGATTTCAAAAGGGATGAGCTCATGGTAGGACGCAACCTCTCTGGGATAGAAAGTGATGGGCACCTCCACTGTCCCTCCTGGGCGCAGGATGCACCCTGGGAAGTTCACCTCCAGATGCACGGTGTTGGTGAACAAGCAGTTCAAACTGGCAGAAAACACAACAAAGAGGAGGAGAAGTGTCACAAGGCTGTGTGTGCTCGAACAACAACATCAGGGCTACCTGGGGCTCTCCTGTCTCCTCTCCCTGCGTCTTCAGGATTTCACTCACAGTGGTCAGGAGGACATGGAGCAGGCACGTGCTAAGCAAGTGTCGAAGGAGTGTGCAGAGAAGGCCTACCTCACATCCCTGTCTGCCTTGTTTGTGATGACAAGGGTCTGCTGGGCAGCTGACATCCCAGCACGGTAGATGAAGCAGGCTCCAAAGTTGAGTCTGGTGGTGGAGAAGTGGACAGTCGGCACTACTACGGTGGCCAGGAACACACAGGTAAACGTGGGACCCTTGCTGATCTGGTGGGGTGAAAGACAGCATAAGCCAGCTGAAGAGATGAGAAATACAACTGCAAACACCAGAGACAGCTGAGGAAGAGGACGGAGGACAGCTGGCTGCAGTGACAGTAAGGAAAAGCAAGGGCCAAAGGACCCCAGAATGGAAATAGAAGGTGGAAGGCTTGGTCTGAGAAGGAAAGGTTTTTGGAGTCACATCCTTGCTTTGTGCAGCCGCGTGCTGGCAAGACCCTCCTGAGCTGTGGGACCTGACTCGGGAGGGGCCTGGCAAGGAGAAACAGCTCCATTCCCATGCACATCTAGCCCCTTCCC